CGGCTCCTGTGGGCCAGGGGTGGGGAGGCCGGCCAGGGGCTCGTATGGTCTGGCGGCGGGGGGACGGGAGGCGTCGGGAGCAGGATGGTGCCTGCAGGGGTGGGAGCATGCTGGGGGGCAGTGGGAGTGGGCTGGGCGCCAACCACGGACAAGCCCCGCACAGTGGCATGGACCCGCTCCCCGTCTGGTGCAGGAGCCTGGTGGGACGGGGATTGCAAGGCCAGCGGGACCATGCCTGGAGCAGCAGTTCTGGGGGGTGGCCAGAGTGCCGTGGGAGGGACTGAGACAAGAGAAATGCTGGGTGTCCCCCATGGGATGGTGGCTGGCCTCTCCGTGGGCACCAGAAGAGCAGGAGGCACTTGTCTGGTGGTGGCTGCCAGCAGGCTGGTTGGCACCGGTGTGGTGGCAGAAGCTAGAGTGGACAGTGCAGGCTCTGGGCTGGTGGCCCCAGGAGGCTGTAGGCTTATGATGGATGGAGTTGGACACAGGCTGAAGGCTTCCTGTGGCACAGCTGGCGATAGGGTGGTGATGGAAGTCTTGGGCAGCACGGTTGATGATGGGGTGACAATGGAGGCCTTTAGCAGCACAGCTGGTGATGGTGTGTTGATGGAGGTCTCTGGCAGTACAATTGGCGATGGTGTGTTGATGGAAGCCTTGGGCAGCACAGTTCGTGATAGTGTGTTGATGGAGGCCTTTGGCCGCACAGTTGGTGATGGGGTGGTGACGGAGGCCTTCAGCAGCACCGCTGATGATGGGGTGGTGATGGAGGCCTTTGGCAGCATGGTTGGTGATGGGGTGGTGATAAAAGCCTTCAGCAGCACAGCTGATGATGGGGTGGCGATGAAGGCCTTAGATGGCATGGTTGGTGACGGAGCAGTGAAGAAGGCCTCCGTTGGCATGGTTGGCAATGTGGCAGAGGTGGCCACAGGCGACAGCATGGTTGGCAGTGCCATGATGGGAAAGGCTGCCAATGACAGCATGGTTGGCGCTGCAGTGGGCAAGGCTCCAGGTGACAGCAAGGTTGACATCCCTTGCGATGATGTGGAAGTGAATGGCAGAGATGAGGTAAAAGCAGCTGAAAGAGGCAGAGTAGCTGGGCAAATTAAGTGGTCTTCCCTCAACGATGTCACTGCTTGCCCTGCCAGGTGGGGTGGACTCTTGCATGACACTTGGGTGGACAATTTGACCTTCTCACTGTTGCCCAGGATCCAGCTGTGCAGGTAGCAGAGGTTGCAGTCACATCTCCATGGGTTCCCACTCAGATACACTGAGCTGAGCTTCTTCAGGGGGTCCAGGAGACCTCGGGGGACACTCTCCAGCTGATTCTTCCGAAGGTTGAGGGTTTTCAGATTTGGGAGAGAAGCAAAGACCTCATCATCCAGAGCAGAGAGCTGATTTGTGTCCAGCTGGAGGTCCGAGAGCTTGCTGAGCCCAGTGAAGGCTCCTCTTGGTAGGACTGCTAGCTGGTTGTGGGACAAGATGAGTTTGCCAAGAGATGTGAGGTTGACAAAGATGCCGTCTGGAAGTGTGGCCAAACTGTTCCTGCCCAGGTCCAGCTCCCGCAGGTGTGGCATGGTGTCAAAAAGGCAGCAGGGGAGCTCCGTAATGTGGTTTGAACCCAGAGTCAGCAGCTTCAATTTGTTTAAACCAAAAAAGCCCTGAGGTGGGAGAACCCCGATGAGGTTGTTGTCCAAGAGGAGTTTCTCCAGATGAGACAAGCTCCTCAGGAGCATGGGTGGCAGCACCCTGAGCCTGTTCCTCTGGAGGCTGAGCTCCAGCAGCTCTGGCTGACTGTCTAGCAGCCCCTCTGGGAGGTCCTGCAACTCATTCTCATACAGCCGGAGGACTCGCAGCCGGGGGAGTTTGCTAAAGGCATCCCCAGGAAGAGTCGTGATCCTGTTTCTAGCCAGATCCAAAAATGTGAGATTGACGAGAGAATCAAAAACTCCTTCTGGAAGAGAAGAGATTGCATTCATGTGCAGGGAGAGCTCTCCCAAATTTTCCAGCCCATCAAACAGGCCTTTGGGGATGTATCTGAGGTGACTGTCTCTCAGCTCCAGCCTCTGCAATCTTGGGAGGTTTTGGAAAGTGGCCACAGCTAGTTCTTCTAACGAGGCACCAGATATTTCCAAGTCCCTCAGCTTCTCCAAACTATCAAAGGCTCCGGGTTCAACTGTCTTGATCTTGTTGCCAATAAACAAAATCTTGATCAGGTTGGGCATGTACCTGAAGGCACCTTTCCTTATAGCAGTGATGCTGGTTTGCACAAAGATCATCTCAGAAATGAAGGGCTTTGCAATCTTTGGGATCTCTTTGACGTCATTTTTTGTGCCTCTGTAGACCTCCTGGTAGTCTTTGGGCATTTCATACGGATCTTCACCCAGGATTTGATCTTGGCATTTATGGGGGTGGAAGGAGAGGAAGAAAAGGAAAAGGAAAAGCTGGTACATTGTCCTGAAAAAAAGGTTTCAAAAATCAGTTATGAAGAACAACAACAAAAAAAATCTCTGTCCACAGCTCATGAACTGTGGTACCATGCTGTCGTCCAGCTCTCAGGAGTCTTCTATTCACATATCATAACTAATTTTATGAGAAAGAGAGAGACTGTACAAGCCAGTGTATGCTGCCTTTACAAGAGTTCACTGCTGTTGGTACCAAGGGATGGAGAGGAAGGGAGAGCGAGCCAGCTCATGGCTTGGCACTGGACAACGCTCCAGGAAGGGCAAGGGCTGGATGGTCTGTTCTCTGATCATCCTTCTCCCATGTTTGGGCTGTAGGCTCGGCATCTGGGTGAAGAAGGCAAAGTGCTGCTGCCCATTAGCGCTGCCCCAGTGGGTCCAGTTACTCAGCAGGGCAATAGCCCATTCATGCAACAACAGAAGCAATCAGCCCTGCGCTTGCTAATGAGGGACTAGAAAGGGTCCCAGGAGCCAGCCAAGACCAGATGACCTTGTTTACTCAGAATTTCCACACTGTGCTGGATAGACTTGCTATTTCATTGGTGCTTCTCTCAGTTCAGGGGAGTCATTTAAAACATTGCTTCTAAGCATCTCCTTTTCAGGATTCTTGCTAATCGCGTCACATTTTGGCCTTGGTTATGCAGCTCTGTCAGATAGAAATGGTTAACTTGTAAGCAGCAACCCAGCTTTAGAGCAAGGCTCGTTAAAAGACTATGAAATGTCCACAGATGAACTCTTTAATACCTAATATTTAGGACTCTGACCTGCAGTTAGGAAGTGAAGTCACTGATGCACACCCACCAGTAGCCACGAAAAGCCCACCACTTCCATCGGGTCATTTGGAAACACTCAGCTAACACATTAGCTGGGGTTTAATGGCTGTGAGCATCCTACTGGGACAGTCCTTTCCAGCCTGTGATTCACAGCCCTGGGTGGGAGCAGGGGAAAGGGCTGTGGGTTGCTTCTTGGGTGTCCATCAAAGCTGACCATGCAAAAAAACTTATACTGGGAGGGTAAATTTGATATGAAAAGTTATTTTTTGAAAAATGTTGAGAGGTCAGCAAATACAGGAGGCCGAAAGCCACTGGGTTTGAAGAGAAACCGATGGGAGGTGAGGTATGTGCCAGCTGCCCCGCGGGGCTCCCCAGGGCAGAAGCCGCTGCTGATCCCTGCCCATCCTCTCCCCAGGGAGACTCGGGTGCGGGAGCCAGGGGCGCGGGTGCAAAAGTGCCTGCTTCACTTCAGCTGCAGGGGCATGCAATGGGTTAAATGCGCAGGTGGGAACGGCTGGGCTGGGTGCACGGGGATGAAATTCAACAGTTTTGAACTGCAAAGCTCTTTTAAAACCCTCCCTCACCCCGTCTGGCTGTGGTGGACCTCAGTGTGGTCCCCTGCTTGCTCCACCCTCCAGCAGTGCAGGGACACAGGGGGACGGCCCCAGCTCACGGCGCTGCAGCCTCTCCTGCTCCTTGGTGCAAGGAAATGATCAACAGCCCCCCAGAGCTGCCCCTCCCAGCACATTTTAAAGTGCAAAAAAAGTGTTTTGCATCACTTACTTGACTGAGCACATGCCAACGAGTCCAGTCGCCGGAGCGAGCCGTGCCGGTGCGAGGAGCAAGGCCACCAGACATGGGTCCCATCACCTGGCCAGCTCTTTATCCATGGCCCAGGCGCAGGGCTTGGTTTCGCGTGAGGTCAGGGCGCAGGTCTGCGAGGGGAGATAAGGGACGGCCGGGGAGCAGGCAGTGGAGCTGTGCCCCCCAGCACGGGAGGCTGTTTGCAGAAATGCCTTGGAGAGGACACAGACACGTACTCCCTAGGCATTATCTGCTGGTGCCACTAGTCACATCCAGGAAGACCTGAAGAACTCCAGGCCAGCCTGTTTTGTAGCTGAAGCTCTCTGCAGTCCCGTATCTCCACCAGTGTAAGCCACCAGCTTCACAGGCACCACCCCCACCGACACAACAGAAAGGAGCTTTTCCTATTTAAAGCTTTTCCTGTTAAAAATATCCAGCTGTTTCCTTCCTCAAAAATTAACTTATGTAGCTAAAGGTGCTGCTCTGAAGCCATTTGTTTAAGCTTATAAGTGATGACTTCTGTGGCCGGAGAGATACGCTGACACCCAGGCTCTGGGCTCGGCCCCGTAGCCCCACACCTCACTGGCTGTAGGGCTGGGTGCTCCCCTCCACCCCAGCACAACCCAGAGACCCTCCCGCAGTGACACCTAGGCCTCTGGCCGCTGCAGAGCGTCTTCTGGGAAGAAACACTCTGTTTGATGCAAAGACTTAAAATGACAAGGCATCCATCGCTTCCCACCGGATAATTGCACTAGTTGCATTTAAGCATTTCTTCTTCAATTTTCACCTGCTCTTATTAAGGTTCAGCTTGTGCTCCTAGGCTTTCCTGGCAAATTTAGAAACACTCCAAACTATTGCACATTTCCAACAGCCTTACCCCTTTCCAACATCAACCCAGTATGCATCCCCGCTCGGTACCAGGCTGCTCCAGAGGCTGTAGGGTGGCAGAGCCAGGGTGCACGAGGGGAACGGAGTTTGCAGCAGGAGCGAGACCAGCCTCCCTGGGCCATGGGCAGCACACCCCACAGTGTGCCAGGGCTGGGGAGCTGCAGCCAGCCCCAGCCTCCCCTGTCCAGGCTTGGAGGTGGCCACGCCAGCGTCACCTGGGAGGTGGCCGCAGCAGGCTGGCAGTGCCTTGTGCGGGAGAGGCGGCAGGGTGGCTGTGTGGGATCGCGTCTGGGGGTGAAGCATCGACCACCTGCCTCCCAGGAGATAACACAACACGGAGCCTCCACTTTGCT